ACTGTCCTTATTACATACCACCTATGAATCAGAGCTTTTTTTTTTTTTTTTTTTTTTAACAGCAACTTGTATTGAAAGTCTGGGTCACTGTCTGGGCATCACTAAAGTGTTTTTTTTCTTTTGCCTTCAAGTTAGTCTTGACTTCTGGTGACTGCACGGACAAATCCATACAATTTCCTTAGCAACACTTTTGGAAGTAGTTTGGCATTCTGTTCTTCCTATGACTAAGTAACTGGTTCAAAGTCATCCAGTTGGCTTTGGGTCTAAGGCAGGACAAGAACTCACAACCTCTCCACTATCAGCCTGATGCCTTTAGCCACCACAGCAAACTGGCTCTCCATCATTAAAATACACAGGCGTAAAAGAAGAGGTTTATTTAAACACAGAGCTCAATTCCAACAGTAGACCACTTCAGCAATTCATAGTAGTGTTTATCCTCTAATGATAAGGATTCAATTGGTATTGTTATTTCTGTCACAAAGAACCTTTCTCCAAATTTGACTCAATAGCAGCTAACCATTTAAAAAGTGTGTGAGGCTGGTGAAATAGGTATCCCAAGCACTGCTTTTTCCTCTTGAGTCTGCTTCTGTAGCTTCAATATTTCTGAATGAAAAAAACCTGCTTTATTCTGGTTCCATATGTCTGAATAAAGAACTGCTGCAATCATGCAGAGCAAGGTCAGCAAATCAGATTTTAATATTTTTTTTTCATCAATGATTTGGACGAGGGGATAGATGGGGAACTCATTAAATTTGCGGATGACACCAAGTTGGCAGGAATAGCCAACACTCCAGAAGACAGGCTTAAGATACAGGAGGACCTGCACAGACTTGAACACTGGGCGCTATCTAACAAAATGAAATTCAATGGTGAAAAAAGTAAGGTTCTACATTTAGGCAAGAAAAACCAAATGTGCAGGTATAGTATAGGGGGTACCTTGCTCAATAGTAGTAACTGTGAGAGGGACCTCAGAGTCCTAGTGAACAATCACTTAAATATGAGCCAGCAGTGTGCTGCAGCTGCCAAAAAAGCCAACACAGTGCTGGGCTGCATTAACAGAGGGATAGAATCAAGATCACGTGAAGTATTAATACCACTTTACAATGCCTTGGTAAGGCCACACTTGTAATATTGCATCCAGTTTTGGTGACCACGATGTAAAAAAGATGCTGAGACTCTAGAAAGAGTACAGAGAAGAGCAACAAAGATGATTAGGGGACTGGAGGCTAAAACATATGAGGAACGGTTGCTGGAATTGGGTATGTCTAGTTTAAGGAAGAGAAGGATGAGGGGGGACATGATAGCAGTGTTCCAATATCTCAGGGGCTGCCACAAAGAAGAGGGAGTCAAGCTATTCTCCAAGGCGCCTGAAGGCAGGACGAGAAGCAACGGGTGGAAACTAATCAAGGAGAGAAGCAACCTAGAACTAAGGAGAAACTTCCTGACAGTTAGAACAATTAACCAATGGAACAACCTGCCTCTAGAAGCGGTGAATGCTCCAACACTGGAAGTTTTTAAGAAGAGACTGGACAGCCATTTGTCTGAAATGGTATAGGGTTTCCTGCCTGAGCAGGGGGTTGGACTAGATGACCTCCGAGGTCCCTTCCAACTTTTTATTATTATTATTATTATTATTATTATTATTATTATTATTATTATTATTATTATTATTATTATTATTATTTCTTTGCCCAAGCTCTGATATCCGAATTAACTTAGCTAAGTAAAAAGTTCCTGAAGTGGAACTGGGAAAAAAAAAAGAGGGTCTTAATTTATCTCCTGCCCTCTGTTTAACTAAAAGAGTGAACAGGTAATTTCAGGGAAATATGGCCAACCATCAACTTACCTACCATTTCATTTACCATCCAGCATATCTTCAACAGTAAACTAACAAACAAAAAAGTCCGCTTTTCTTTCTAATAAAATTGCAACAATAAAAAGAAAACAATCTTACTTTTTCCATTAAAATATTTCTTTTTGCCTGTGGGAACGAATCATAATTTTGTAAAAGGATTATGTTTTTTTTCCCTAACTGCTGAGTTGGAGATCAAATTATTTTTTAAAATTAAAATGGATGATTGACAAAACATTATTAAAACGATAGCATTTCAGAATTGCTTCAGGCATCTGTTTATGAATAGCTGATAATGTATAAAAGCAACCTCTCTCTTGAGTTATATAATAGTACAAATCAGTAGTGGCTGTGGATAGATTTACAGTCCTTGATTTAAGTGTTACTTATTAATTTCTCTTGAAATTTGTGAAATCTGCTTCATTCCAAACACTGCAGGGTAGCTTATTGCTTGGCTGGATTATAAAGGATTTGTATATTAAAAATGATAACATGAGAGAGAGAGATTTTTGGGCACTGGAGTAGTTCTGATTTCTACCATGCAACTTTCTCAAAAGATTTCTTCCTTTGAAAAAGAGGATTTATTATTATTTTTTAACCTTATTCTCAACACACTTGAACAACTCTTTCAAATTTCTCTTCATGGTGTTTTTGAGTTTATTGCTGAAAGTGATGGAGAACACAAAAGAATGCAGTCGATGCATATCTTTCCATCACAAATGAACCTTCCGGATTAGCTAATTTCCTATCTGAAACCAACCAATCAGAAGAGACCTATGGGATTTAACCAAAGTGTAATCAACCAGGGAGACTAGAGACAACTAAAGAAATGACTGCTCAATGAAAAAGTATTTGCCCACATGCCCTTGTTCACTTTATAATTAAGTGCAAAAAGCATCATAATCCATCTATGTACATTTCCCTAAAATGCTTTTCTCCTTAGAACAAAATTTCAACAGATTCTTTTTTTTTCCTCTCACCAAATTGAACTAAGACAAAAAAAATGAAGGAGAATGTTTCCATATAGGATTTGTGGGCATAATTAGCAAGGCATTAGGTCAACATGCTTACCAAAGACATTCCTTCAACCAAAATGACACAGTGAGCTTTGTGGTGTCAGTTCTCTCTCTTAAGTTCATGCAACATTATGTTACATGTACAAAATGGGTAAAGGTAATGTTAACTGGGTGAACTTTGTGCTCCCTTTCCTCCCCTGAGGATGCGGTTGCCTCCAGTCACTATAGTCATTACTCTTGATAAACCGAGAACAACTTGGCAATAAAGTTCTTGTGATTTACAACCCTGATTAATCAAGGTACTAGTAGATAAGTAGAGAATCTGGACTGGCTCTCAGTCTATAAGTAGCAAGGAACTATAGTTCACTCATCCTTCTTCTCTTATACCAGGGGTAGGCAACCTTGGCTCTTTTATGACTCGTGGACTTCAACTCCCAGAATTCCTGAGCCAGCATGGCTCAGCTTGGAAACCTCTCCCTTTCTCCTCAGCATGGCTGGCTCAGGAATTCTGGGAGTTGAAGTCCACGAATCATAAAAGAGCCAAGGTTGCCTTCCCCTGTCTTATACATTCTTATAGTTAACTTAGAAAGTGAATGAGGAGTCCACAGGGTTTCTTTATTTTTCATTTTAGCCATTGGTTTATACATACTTGATTTCATTAAATTATCGTATGCCAGGAAGATCATATTCCTGGGTATCTAAGAACATATGTGGGAGAGGAAACACTTGGGACCACTTATTAGACATATCCAGAATTTTCTGCAGAGCAAAATTTGAAAATATTTCAGCTCGGGACTAAAGAGTCAGATTCATACTTTTGGCACAACAGAAGTAGCCCTTATTACTTGCAGCATCTTTGTTTGATAGGTAATTAATCCACAGCTGCTATTTTTTAATAACCCTCCAGAAGCTTGCAAGTACGAACCCTAAATAAATTATTTTTCACCTAGAGAAAGAGAAGCCAACATGTTCTGGGCAAAATTCCTTGCAATAATCACAGAGCATTACAGTACATTTGGGAGTAGATTTCTACTTAATCTTCAACAAAAAAAAAGAAAAACAACTTACCAGCCGCTATATGTATTTGAAAATGAAGCTGATGTAAATTAATTGTGTTGGACCATGCACTCATGTAACCATTTATTTCCAACCTCTTGGGGGTGTGGAGAATAGATTTAGGACAGGTAGCTTTTTAAAAAGGTGGAACTTACCTATGAGCACAGAGCTTCCTTGGCTCAATATTTTTCTTGTTCCTGAAGGAGATGTTATCACCGAAGGAATGCCTGGCCCCACGAGTGACAGAGTGGCTGCCATGTCTTCAAATTGATGGGGGAGTTGCGGTGGGTCTGGGAATATATTGCAGAGACAATGACACAATAAGGAACTTTCTCCCTATAAAGGAGATTAATGCCTAATGTTATTTAGTAACCCGTTCAGATAAATCTTGGCGAAATGAATTCAGAGAAAAGACCATTTTTTAAAAAACTGCACGCCAGAGAGATGGATAAGAAAGTAACAGAGAGAGAGAGATGGAAGAGGAATTCCTACAAGCTAAGAAAACTTATGTCAACAAAAATTAAAAAAACAAAAAACAAAACATGGCCAAAGTCATACCCTGAAAAATAAGATCTGCCAAAGGTAATTGATGTATGATTTGGGGAAGGCACCCAGGTTTCTGGAAGGGGGCACCCTTCATCAACAAGTCTACAGTAGCTTTTGCTTAGTCTAGCCTGCTGTCTTTCTTACTATGTCTTTCTTTCTTCCTGCTGTCTTTCTTACTATGGAGTAAAAGTGTCACAAACGTGTTATTAGGCAAGGAAATCCATCACCGAGTATCATAAATCAGTCCCAGGAATACATTAGCCCTGAGCCTCTGGACCTGACAATGCCTTTCTAAATCACCCAGCTAAACTCAAACTGTTTCCTATTGGGAAATGTAAGACAAAGTAAACTTCACCCTTCGATGACCCGAGTCCCTCCTTTTTTTGTTGTATATTTTTTTTAAAAGCTGGTAGGCTGAATTTATGCATTTGTCAGCAAGGTGTGAAATTGGTACAGTGTCACTCGGTGATTTATTACAGGCCCTGCTTCTCCAACAACACTGGGACAGAAAACAGGAGGATAGTGTTTTCAAGGAGGGAAGCTGGCTGTGGAGACACAATCCCTTCTGCCTTCAGCCACTGCAGGAAGAACTCCCAAAGTTGATTGATCCTCCCCAAACCCTGAACCCAGTGCAGGGGTTGTCAGTACAGGTTTCAAGGATGTCAGTGGGAGTTGGGGATGTGTATGAGATTTTCAGCCAGGTTTAAAGGTCTAGCCCTCTGACACATTTCATGTTAATTGGGGGACAAGAGTAACAGAATTATATTGCAAGGACATTTGTTATGGATACGCTCTTGTAATTCACAGCCATCAGCGGCTTCCCCTCTGTTGTTGTTGTTTAAACAGCAGAGATTTCTTTCTGTGGCACCTCTACATAAGACAAGTTAATTTTTATCCTCTGCAGTTGTCAGCTAAGAGCAAAGCTGAAGGTGGGAGAGATTAATGGTCCTTGAGCCCCTCTCCCTGATGCACCCACTAAATGTTTTTTTTACATCTTGGTTTTCCACGCAGTCTCAAATGGACTCAAAAAATAAAACTCACTGAGTTGAATTACATTTATTAGCAGGAAAATATTTTGGAATGCTGCCTTTCATGGCTCGACTGTTTAAGGGTCAAGATAGCATTCTCAGCCATTGCCATGTGAAACGATTATAACAATATTCCAAAGATCAGCTTTAACTAGGCAGTTCCCTTAAAACAAGTCCAAAGCGGAGAAATTGGAATCAATGACAAAAACTTTAATGCGTCCCTCAGGTCATCAATGGCTGCCACTCAGAGGGACCTCAGACTCCTCGTGGACAATCACTTAAATATGAGCCAGCAGTGTGCTGCAGCTGCCAAAAAGGCCAACACAGTGCTGGGCTGCATTAACAGAGGGATAGAATCAAGATCACGTGAAGTATTAATACCACTTTACAATGCCCTGGTAAGGCCACACTTGGAATACTGCATCCAGTTTTGGTCACCACGATGTAAAAAAGATGTTGAGACTCTAGAAAGAGTACCGAGAAGAGCAACAAAGATGATTAGGGGACTGGAGGCTAAAGCATATAAGGAACGGTTGCTGGAATTGGGTATGTCTAGTTTAATGAAGAGAAGGACAAGGGAGGACATGATAGCAGTGTTCCAATATCTCAGGGGCTGCCACAAAGAAGAGGGAGTCAAGCTATTTTCCAAGGCGCCTGAAGGCAGGACAAGAAGCAACCGATGGAAACTAATCAAGGAGAGAAGCAACCTAGAACTAAGGAGAAATTTCCTGACAGTTAGAACAACCTGCCTCCAGAAGTTGTGAATGCTCCAACACTGAAAGTTTTTAAGAAGAGACTGGACAGCCATTTGTCTGAAATGGTATAGGGTTTCCTGCCTGAGCAGGGGGTTGGACTAGATGACCTTCGGGGTCCCTTCCAACTTTTTATTATTATTATTATTATTATTATTATTATTATTATTATTATTATTATTATTATTATTATTATTATTATTATCTGGGTTGGAAAAATCTGGGTGGCCATCAGAAGACAAGTGAAGAGGCACAGAAAACAGTTACTACACTACGGGTAGTTCTCGACTTACAACCACAACGGAGCATCGATTTTCCGTCGTTAAGTGAGCTTTGCCCCATTTTATAACCTTTCTTGCCACAGTTGTTAAATGAATCACCACAGTTGATAAGTTAGCAAGTGAACCTGGCTTCCCCATTGACTTCGCTTGTCAGATGGTCGCAAAAGGTGACCACATGATCCCGGGGACACTGCAACTGTCATAAACCTGACCCCGTTGCTAAACATCTGAATTCTGATCACATGACCGTGGGGGGACGCTGCAACGGTGAGAAGTGTGAAAAACGGTCGTAAATTACTTTTTTTCAGGGCGGTTGTAACCCTGAATGGTCATTAAATGAACTGTTGTAAATAGAGGACCACCTGTACTATCTAATAGTCTTACACAGACTGTGGTAGCCCAGATTTGGTAGCACTGGGCATAAAATTACGATATGCATTATTTAAAATGAAAATTGGGTCAGTTTTCCAGTGGACGGGGAAGGGTGTCAATAAAGAGCGGGTTTCAAGCATGTGAAGAGGAGGAAAGCTATCATTTCGTCAAAGCCCAATTCTGAGAAACGCGTTTGCTATGGGATCCAAGGACATTTGTGAAAAAAGTCCCGTTAATTATCAGTTGGAAAGCTGGTCCTAACAGAATTACTTTTTGGAGAAGCTTGATTCTTCTCATGATTTTTTTTTTCTTCCATTTAACCATGTTCAGTTCTCAGAGACTGCCTAGACATGTCCATGTCCCTGCAGATTCCCCCCCCCCTCGTTTTCTTAACAAGGTTTTCCAAAAATGGTTTGTCACTGCCTCCTTCCTAGGGATGAGAGAGACCGACTAGTCCAGGGGTAGACAACCTTGGCTCTTTTATGACTTGTGGACTTCAACTCCCAGAATTCCTGAGCCAGCCATGCTGGCTCAGGAATTCTGGGAGTTGAAGTCCACGAGTCATAAAAGAGCCAAGGTTGCCTACCCCTGGACTAGGCCAAGTCCATCCAACTGGCTTTGTCACAGTCTTCCATTTTCTAGCCTGATGCCTTAACCACTACACCGGATTGGCTTTCCTTCTCATGATGAAAATATCAGTACAAAAGACGTAAACTCCTGATGCCTTTAGTGCTCCCATTATTGATCGGTTCCCCTCTCCAGGAAATGCAGTTTTCATCAAAGAAAACCTGTACCTTAAATACAAATATATTTAAAGGATTTTGATCCTTGTTGATTTCTCCCAATTAAATTACACTACACAGCCACGCATCCTTTGATCACAGGCTTTTTGGTTGGAGGGAAAAAAATGACAAAAGATATTAATTCTCAAAAAGATTGCATACTTTAACTTACCGAGGACTAATAGCTGTGTGCTTTCTGTTACTTCCCCGCGGATGTTGGCAGCCCTGCAAGAATATGATCCTTGGTCTGAGATAGATACGTTTCGAATCAGTAGGGACCCATCGTGGATGTGAAGGTCAGTGACCAGCTTGGTTTTATTCCTGAACCAGGTAAGTTCTGCCTCGGGCACACCTGATATAGGAACACAATGAAAGAGAGAGACAGAGAGAAACACAAAGAATATCCATGGTGAACCTTGTGCAAAAGCATTGTTGTGGGGTACCAGACCAACCCATTGTTCCGCGGTCCATTTTTGTTGTAGTCTAACAGTGCAGAAAATAAATTTAAAAAAATGTTTTCAACGTACGAAAGCTCCAGATACGTTGCTTTCGTCTTCCATGCTTTACAAAAATTTGAATTCTAAAGTTATTTAATTGACAAACAGCTTCTTTCATTGTTTTTTTATGGCTTTTATACAGGTGATCCTCAACTTACAACATTTGTTTAATGACCAGTCAAGTTATAATGACACTGAAAAAAAGTGATTTATGACTGGTTTTCACACTTACAATCATCCCCGTGGTCACATGACCAAAATTCAGGTGCTTGGCAACTGGCATGCACTTATGACAATCGCACTGTCCCAGGTCATGTGATCGCCATCTATAAACTTCCCAGCCGGCTTCCAGCAAGCAAAGCCAATGGGGGGGAAGCCAGCTACGTTTTATGACCTCATGATTCGCTTAACAACCTCAATGATTCGCTCAACAACTGTGGCAGAAAAGGTCACTAAATGGGGCAAAACTCACTTAACAACTGTCTTGTTTAGCCCAAAATGGAAATTTTGGGCTCAGTTGTGGTCGCACTTATAAGTAAATATAAAGTATACTTGATATACTTTATTTAAAGTATAAGTATACTTTAAAGGGTTACATTTAACCTTCCCAAAGAAAGGGAAAACATACAAACGAGTTTCCTTGAACACGGTGCATTTTCCCTTCCCCAAATCATCAGCAGATACTGTATTAGTTGTACCGCCGCTATTTCTGAGCCATTTCTGTCATGGAGAAAACACACGGTAGCTCCGCCTTTTCTGATCCTCCTTTCCATATTTGTAACCCCAAGAGAAGTGGAACTACCCTGCAAAGGAGACAGTCCTTTCAAAAGAGGACCGTGCTTGGCCTGGTTTTCCTCTTGCTGGAATGTAGAGGGAGATTGTGTACAGGTAGTCCTCATCCTACAAGCACAACCGAGCACAACGTTTCTGTTCCTAAGCAAGAGCAGAACACTCTAGGTGAATTTTGCCCCATTTGGTGACCATTTCTTGCCACATCTGTTAAGTGAATCACTGCAGTTGTTAAGTTAGCAACACGGTGGTTAAGTGAATCTGGCTTTCTCGTTGACTTCGCTTGTCAGACGGTCGCAAAAGAGGATCACGTGACACGACCCCCAGGACACTGCAACCGTCATAAATATGAAGCAGTTGCCAAGCATCGGAATTTTGATCGCATGGCCCCGGGGATGCTGTAATGGTTGTTAAGTGTAAAAACGGTCATAAGTCACTTTTTTTCAATGCCGTTGTAACTTTGAATGGTCACTAAATGAACTGTTGTAATCTCCCTTGTCCTATAACTTGGAACTAGCCCTGGATTGCTCTTATCATTATTACTGGAACTAGTTGCTCCACACAATTAAGCTTATTGAGTATATATCCTTTCTCTTTTGTGCTACGGTTGGCCAAGCTTCAAGGGCCAATTTTAACTAGGGAATTAGCAGGGGAAGATCTAATTTCTCTCTTCCAATGCTTTGGCCCTAATCCAGCCTCTGCTTCATTGGTTGTCAAATAAAGAGGAAAAAAAAATAAGTTGGGAGATCCAGTCTGATCTTCCTGATGACATCTAATTTCCCTCTTACCGAGGTGCCTATGGCAAAGAGAGACATTTAATCTGATTTAGCAACCTTGCATCGGTTGGGGATTGCAATAAATGATTGTACTTTTATCTTCTGCCAGTGTGTTTTTCCTTATCCTCACCATCACTCACTCTTTTGCTTCCATCATTTTTTTTAAAAAAAAATTCTTCTTGTTTACTTTCATTCCCTTCTCCTGTGGTCTCCCTCCGTTATGCTAAACAAAGGTGTGTATGAATTTTTGTTTTCGGTTTCTGGAGGAGAGAGTTACTTCTTCTTGTTGATTTTATTTCTGCAAATTCTGGGACTCAAGAGTGAAGAAAACACACTGTTACTTTTCAGTGGCACTATTCTGTACACAAAGATTTTGGCATAGGCAGCCTGATATTGTCACAATTGGTACCTCTGGACCAAAAAGTGATGTAGGAACGATTCACTAATTTGTTGTCATTAAGGATTATCCTTGTGGTGGGCTACATTATCCATCAAGTACAAAGTATTATTTTCCAACCCTTGTTCTATCCAGTTCTTCTTTTTTTGCTCTTATAGCTCACTCCTCTGTAGGTCCCAAAGCCAGAAGGGTTCAATATGGAATAATACCTTATGAGCCATTCTCTCATATTAGCTTACAATTTCCTCCTTTCTCCCCATAAATTCAAAGATGGCTGAAGGAAAAACACTTAAGGCTTTACTCTATGATAATCCAGAAATGTCAGTAAAGTTGGCAACTCTGATCCAAACTGGACATGGTTTCTGGTTTCATTGGCTCCTGCTTGTTTCCAAGCCTAATGCCAAGGCCTGGTATTAACCTGCAACATCTTTCAAAGCAGGAAGCCACAATTTCTGAATATATTCCTTCCTGAGTCCAGAAATAAAAATATATGTGACAAACCACTCTATATATTAAAATATGAGAGAGAGAGCAGACTTTTAAAAATTATTTTGATTATTTTTTTAAAATTATGGATTGCTTTCCCCAAAATATGAGCTCTTTAGTAGGTTTACTCAAAATAGACAAGTTACGCTGCTCATAAAAGGCTACGCTGCTCACAAAAGCTCGGTTCACAGGCACTTCCCTGATGTTCTAGTACAGTGATGGCGAACCTTTTAGAGACCAAGTGCCCAAACTTCAACCCAAAACCCACTTATGTATTGCCGGGTGGGCATGGCCGCCAGGCGGGTGTGGTCCGCCGGGTGGGCGTGGCTACAGTGGTCATGGCAAACGGGTGGGCGTGGCCAGGGTGGGCATGGCCAGTTCAATGTTGCTCCTGGGGAGGGATGCCTGTGGGGGTCGGGCAGGGTTGGGGGAGATCCAGGGGTCTCTGGCGGGTGGGGCGGTGGCAGGAGGCTGGTTCTGTGGGGTGAGGCGAGGCAGGGCGGGGGTGCCAGGTCGCAGGGCAAGGCGAGGCAGGGGCCGGGGCGGCTACTGCCTGACACCATCAGCCCCGCACCCAAAGGCCAGCAAGCGCATGGGTGCTGGGATGCATCTGGTCACGTGGGACCTCGGCAAGTTAGCAGGTGGCTGGTTGAAGAGGACAGTTGCCATCTCTGGGGCATGGCGCGCGTGCCCACAGAGAGGACTCCGAGTGCCGCCTCTGGCACGTGTGCCATAGGTTCATCACCACTGTTCTAGTATGTTTGCTGTTCTTTGTTATTCTGACTTGCACTAATATATATTTCCAATTCTGCTGTTAACATATATCTCTAGCCTTAGGACAGAGTTCACCCTATAGAACCTGATGCCTTATGTTGCCTTATCAGATAAGCTACATTTCAATCTTCAGTTGTCCAGTATAAATATTTTCTCCTGAAAGCACAGTCGGAAAGCAGGTAGATCCATGGTTCATTTTTTTGGGTAAAATAGAACTAAAGTGTCCTATGGTTAATTGAAGATTAAGGCCTTCATGGTGAATAAGTGGAAATGATGGTTGTTTTATCATGCTCCAAATCCATGAAACTGCCTTACGCTGATTTAAATGATTGTTCCATCTCACTCAGGGCTGACATGCAGCAACTCTAAGACCTCGGGCCATGCTTGAAGCTATATTTCAGATCTGCATTAAACTATGTTTTTTTCCACTGATGAGCATTGCAGAGGATCCCAAACAATCCAATAAAATGTTTTAGTTTTCAAACTGGATGCAATGAAACCTAAATGCAGGGCTTTTAAGCCTGCTTATTAATATAGTTATAACAGACCTGCAATTTGGCAGTTAATGGTCACATTTATCCCTGGAATTGTTTTCACTGTGCTTCCGATATCAACCGAAATAGTTGGCAAGTTCTGGTTGGTCACAGCGGTTCTTGATGTCTTTATCAGCGGTTTCCCTGAAAAGAAACCGTGAATTATAAAACAAATAAGACAAGAAACAAAGCATAGGCACAGTTATCATTGATTAATAAAGGAGAATATTTGTAGCTCAGGGTTGAAATGAGGGATCCTTGGTGCTCTCTGAGCTTGCTTGTTTTTGATGCTGAGGACGTTTATCTAGTTTGGGTAATGAAACATCTGCAAGAAAACAAGCAAGCTCAGAGAGCTAAAAGGACCCCTCGTTACAACTTATTTATTTGTCAGTTTTGTACCAGTAAATGATTTCTGCTGAACTAAGCAATGAAAACAGCATACAAACCTGGTCACTAAGACAAATGGAAGTGAAATACAATGGAAATAATAATCTCGGGAGGGACAGTCTCAAGAACCATCGACAATTTGTATATGATCGTAAACAACATGTCAGCTTATAAACAGATACTTGATAAATATCTTTTGCTTTTATAATATATTATATGTATTAAGATTTATTCTGTAAAATTCCCTTGAACGAGCAAACTGGCTGCAGAACGAGAGAAATGAAAGCCAGTTGCATCAATAAATCAGAGTGTGACTAAAGCTATTATCTGCCTAATTAAATGACAATCTTGACATTTAATTGTATGCAGATAATAGACTCACTTTGATTATTTCTGTAATGCTAATTTAAGTTATCCTAATGTTTTTCCTTAAGGTCTTATGTACTTAATTCTCATCTTTCATTGGAAATTTCCATGTGGGGCCCCTGGTCTAAAGTGATGATCTAAAATAAGAATGCTGCAAAGTGCAATGAATTGTAGAAATTTCATGTTGTAGGGAGGGAGGCAGGGTGAGAGAAAATCCTAGAAAATATATAAACCTCAGTGCAGATTCACCTGTCTGCATTCTGGTCATCCACTTCAGAAAATTGTAGTGTGGGTTAAGTTCTGAATGCTGGCTGATTTTTGTGGAGGCTTCTATGTGAGCTTGTTCATAGGCTATCAGAATGTGAAGTGGGTGAGCTTGGGCCAAGACAGGAGCCTATAATGTCTAAACAATTAATCCCTTATAAATCTACAATAGCAGGAAGGAGAAAGAATTGGCACGGAAAGGGTGGCTGTAAGTTGAGGAGGAGGAAAAATTATGGGTGCTTTAGTTGGCAGCCTCAACTAAAAATATGGAAATCTGATTTTGTTTCCGTGCCTCCCCTTTCCCCCAATACATATGTCACTAACACAAATCCATAAGCCATCATAACCGCTAAAATATACTTTATGTGTAACTGGCTGTATTTCAATCCCCATTCTGTAGAAGTAACCCACCAAAGCATGGCAGTGGGGCAGCTTTTGTTTATATCACTTGTATGCAGACTCCTTTAAATGTCAATATAACGAAATATCCAGCCACAAACATGTTCTACTGAGTCATGAAAAGTTCACACAGTTCTCATTTTTTATTGGGTACTCCTAAATCACAGAGAAAGAGAGACCTCAACTGGCAACTGGTCTTTTAATTCACTGTTTCTTTTTTCTGTGATCTCCTCATTAGATTATATACTTGTCTGCTGTTAGCCTATAAAAAGCAATTTGTCATTCCAAAAATGGAAACATTTGCCCTCTGCAAACTCATGTGTTAAATTAATCAATGAGCCAAGTGTTTCATTTAGCTTGAACAAAGATTGCCCACTTCCTCTGACAAAAATCCAGGCCTCCCCTCCTTCCCCACAATGTTGTTTTAATTGCACATTATCACATTCGTACAACTTGGTATCCAGATTTGAAGCTGCTGAATGACTGGATACCTGTGGCTCGTGTTTGACAGATGAGGCTATTCAGAAGCTGCCCAAAAGCAGCTTTGCATCTAGAAAATTTGACCCAGGAGATTTTGCATTTCCTAATTTGTTTGCATGAGAAAATGAAATCAAGGCACGGACTATTTTATTAGAAAAAACTGTTGCTGGTTACTGAAAACCTGCAAACAATCTAAATGTGTGTGTGTCTGTGTGTGTCTTATGAACCTACACGCATACACATATCAGACAGTGATTGATTAGGCTCCATAAATTGGCTTGGATCAAAACTGTGGTTTGAAGGAAGAGGCTTTCCTTCCAAAACTCTAGTCTAAAGTTAAAGCCTTTGGAATGTGCCCATCGGGAATATACAAACTGCAAAGACTCTTTGCAGCCTGGATTGCTATGCTCTGTTGAAAGTGGTAAACTTTAAAACTCAAGCATCTACCTGGATCAGGATGGATTAATTACTTCAATGCTTTATGTTGTGTTGCTATTAAGTCTATGTTGTTTTACCATATTTGTGTTTTTAAGGAGAAAAAGCTGCATTGATGTTGTTGTTGTCATTTTTGAAAGGAGGAAATATTCCTAAAGTAAGCATGGGGTGGATAGGGGATCTGTCCGCCACAATGAATGTAAAAGTGAAGTTTAATGATGAGAAATTAGTTTGGTGAACTGACTTTCTTAGAACTGATCAACATTTTTGGAGCAAAACCCACTGGGGACTTACGTAGAAGTCTGCGTGCAATCCTTCCTAAATCCTTTTACTGGAGTGATCTTGGTGTCTAAAGCAAACTGAGAAGCATGTATCAAGCCATGATTTTTGATCTTGGATTATTTAGACTGACTAGAGTTTAAATAAAGTTTTTACTTTGGACAAATTGATTAGTTCAAAACAGAATAAATCTGATTTTGTGCCAGAAAAAAAAGGATGGTGGTGAGGTGGCAGCTGTGCATATGCAATACTAAAATAGTTTAAAATTATGCCTAAATTAGATCAAAATCTGGGTCCTGGGTCAGAAAAAAGTATCAGTGAACTATTTGTCTGAAGTAGCTCCATATACATTGGTTTAAATACTATGACTGCATCCTAACCTTTAAGTACTTCAGATGGCCAGGTAAAAATTCTGCAGCACTATGCAAAATTGTTTCTAATTTCCGTGGCTTA